GGTCTGAGACCCAAACCCATTCTTTCTAGCTCCTGTACTCTATCAGTTTTTTTAGTACTGTGTGAGTGTGTGAGGAAACATGTGAGCTTTATTAGTTGAGTATGGTAGATTGCCTTTTCCGAAAGCTGTACTTTGTTCTTTTTTAGTTGTAATGATGAATAATGTTTGTTCTGTAGATCTATTCCATTCATATATTGTAGCAGCTTCCACCTGATTTGAACAGGTCTGTGGCAGGCAACTCTGAAAGCTGAAGACATTTTAAATTCTTGGCCAGCTGATGAAGTGGGGAGAATCTTACGTGATTATGGAGAAGAAAGCAATTGGCACTTTCTTCAAAACAAAATTGTTAGCGCCCGCTTGACTGGTGGGCTGCACTCTACTGGTCAACTAGTTGATCTTATTCAGAAATCAACTTTCAGGACGAAAGGTTCTTTCTCCTTTACTTCCCATTCTTTGTTTTCGAATTCCTTTCAAAGAAGCATACCGATCTATCTAATATAGTAATAACAATAATCTCTCCATCCTTTAATTCACGTTTTCTTCTTAAGACTTGTTTAAACCCAGTCCGATTTTTCTTAATGATTATGGCAACTATGGTCTCATGATATTTGCCATGCAAGTGGAAATTATTAATGGGATGGAAAAAATGAATCTGGGGGCACCAAAAGTTAAAATGAGATTTTGGTTATGACCTTATGGGCCAATAGTGGAATATAAAGTTTTCCATCCCAGTTGAAATAACCTATGGTGATGCTGGTGCGGATTTAGAATTTCACATCTCATTTTTATTCATTCGTAAGAGTGTTGCAAGGAGATGGGCGTCTGGTGCAGAACTTCAGCGCTGCTGTTTGTGTGTATGAATTTAGACAATTAATTAACAACATAAGTTTAATACCATAGACCGCAACTAGCTAGGGAGGGTTGAAATGTTGATATTTATGAACCAATGGAAACTATAGATTGGCAAAGTTGGAGGTTAGATGGTGAAAGGGGAAATTGGACTTCACGCCCTTTTTCATCTAACTAGAATGTGTGCCTCATTTTTAAAAATCATTGATATTTGCACCCTGAAGTTCAACAGATCTGTTAAAAATGGGGCACAAACTCCAATATGGAAAAAATAGGCATGTAAACTTAAAATGTTTAGGATGAAAATGATGTGGAAACTCAAACTTCTATGAAAAAATGAGGTGCATACTGAAAATCCTCCACGATGAAATTTTGATGTACTTTTGCAAATACAGGAAGACAAGGCTGGATAAAGACGGCAACAAGAGTCTTCCAAGCTCTTAGAATAGCTGTTAACGATGAACTTAGGACGCTGGAGGGTTCCATCTATTCCTGTTTTGATTCCCTTGCTCCTGGTGGGCGGCTAGCTGTCATCTCTTTCCACAGCTTGGAGGACAGAATAGTGAAGCATTCATTTCTCCGTGTCATCAATGGGGGCGATCCTGCGTCTTCTAGAGCTGAAGAAAAATGCTCTCGAAATGAAGATGGTGAAAGAGAGTTGTGGGTTAAACAGATTATACAAGGCCGGTATGGGACTATCCTCACTAAGAGGCCCATAACTCCATCTCAGAGGGAAGAGATGCTGAACACTAGAAGCCGGAGTGCCAAACTGAGGGTAATTCAGAAAGCTCCGTGATGGATGGAGAATTGCTAATTTTGGGTTGTTCTGCCAAGTGCCAACCAATATTGTAAGAGTAGTAACTATATAATTCCTTTTAGCATTATAGTTTTTTTGGGTGTACTTTCTCTTCCTCCTATTATGTGTTCTGTTAAATGTCAACATCCTTGATTGGGATGATTTTTGAACATGTGACCTCCTTGTCATCGAACCATAAGGTGTTTGGCAGGTAGCTTGGTTGGTAAAGTTAAATTTAGATAAACTATCCCTATTAGTTAAACTTGTCAACACTCAACATTGGGGTCAATTGAACTTAATTTAATTTCCATGTATAAATTTTAAGTATTAATAATAATAAATTAGAAGAAATACTTAATCAGTTGCTCCGGGCCTTGGGTCCTATAATTCCTATTTATAGGGCTCAATGTGATAATCTCTATTTCTAATTAAGTCATTTGGGCTCTTTGAATTTATTTCCAAAATTTATCCTATCAAATGAAGTCTTGATAAAGAAGTTCCGTTTGTAATTTAGGTTGATGCGGACGACATAATAAGGCATGTACGGAATATTTCAATCATTTAAAATCTTTTTAATTATATAATATGAATTATTTAATAATGTGGAAATGGGAATGAAAATTGCCAGTTTAGCAATATACCAAGGGTATGTTCGCAAATAATTTGAAAAGTGATTTTCAACTTTTGACTTAAAAATTTGAAATGAGTATTTTCAGGTGACAATTTCTACTTAAATTAAACACTTAAAAGCTTGAAATTACATTTTGTTATGTAATTATGGATACCCATTAGTCCGCAACACAAGCCCCGTGTACTGGCCCATCTAATAAGTGTAACCCTAGCTCTTCTTTTGTATATATATAGTCTTGGACCCGGTTTGGGCCGCCCGGCCCGTGGACCGGCCCGCTACTGTGCGGGACCGGGACCGGCCCGTTTCTCGGGTCCGGGTCCGGGTCGGGCCTAGGCCCGGTGGGGGGCGGGTCCGGGCTCGGGCCTTGTATTTGGCGAACCGGCCCGGCCGGGTCGGGCCCGGGTCCGGGCCAAATTGATTTATTTTATTGGGATAAGGGTCAGATAGGGCCTCGAACTCGAAAAAAAATGTCAAATAAGGTCATATTTCGGATGCTCTGTCTGGCCGACGCCATTTGGGGCGGTTCCTGATGGAATTTTTTGATGAAATTTTTTGAGCATCTTCCTCATTAAGTCTAGTTTACCCATACCAAATTTCAGCTAAAAATTCAACCGGGAAGGTAGTCAAATAAGTTTCCGAAATGTACGGCGTTGTTTAACTTCACAGTTATCTTCAAAAATTCATTTGACTACCTTCCCGGTTGAGTTTTTAGCTGAAATTTGGTATGGGTAAACTAGACTTAATGAGGAAGATGCTCAAAAAATTTCATCAAAAAATTCCATCGGGAACCGCCCCAAATGGCGTCGGCCAGACAGAGCATCCGAAATATGACCTTATTTGACATTTTTTTTCGAGTTCGAGGCCCTATCTGACCCTTATCCCTATTTTATTTTATTTCATTTTTTGTGGTTCCACCCGGGTTGGGCTTGATGGTTAGGAGGGGTTTGGGGGGTGAGGGGGGGGGGGGGGGGGGGGTTAGGAAAGCAAAAAAAAAATAAGAGGCCCGGCCCAGACCCAGGCCGGTCCTGGGCCTTCCTTCCCAAAAAAAGTCCGGCCGGGCCCGGCCTGGGTCCATGACTATATATATGGGGGTATATGTGAATGAAAGAGATGTCTTTTGATGTTCATAATACGTTATCAACACGATCCGCCTCTTCTCCTTCCAAGAGAAAAAAAAACATACTTGCATTCTCTAACCTATTGTTAGCATCTGCTTCTTTGGTTGTTCTATCGCTGGTTGATTGTTCCATCTTCTTCTCGGGCCATGCTAGCTGGTCGTTCGTCAGTTGAAATGAAATTATCAATCCGGTGAAAATAGCAGCTTGCCACACCTTAAAGCTTGACTGATCAGTCTCCCAGCAATTTCCCAGGGACTCTCAAGTCGGAATCAACACATCGGCTCCTTTTAACTTGTTTACATCTTTCTATCTCATTTCCTTATTGGAGCCGATTTCATCATTATCCACTGTCTTTCCACTTTCACGATTAAATTCAAATTTTTTTGGCGAACGACGAGAGAAAAAAGTAAATGTGGGTTTCATGTATATGAAACTTAAATTGGGTCTGAAGTCCCATGAATCAAGATATTGTGTAAGTGGAGTGCCAATACTTGACTTTGAATGATTTTGAGATTACATTCCTCTTATAATTTAAAGTTTTGTAAATATGGCAGTTGATGAGAAATTGAATGTTATTGCTATGATTTGAATTGTGAGTTCCTGAAGGACATTAGCAAAATGAAATATGTGCACGCAACGTACATTTTTTTGTGCACACAACATACAACATGAATATGAATCCTTTTTATGTTTACAATAATTAGACAAAGAGATGATGGTAGAGAATTATTTGTTAAGTGAATTCAGAATTGAATGAGCAACTGCAATAGTAGGAGATTCAATAAATTGCAAGTATAGTTGAAAATGTAGAAAATAGATGATTGTGCCTAATTACAACCAGGGTAACTATGCTTGATTATCATTGTATGAAATATACTTTCTCCGTTCTTTTTTAGTTGCAACGGTTAACATTTCACATTTGCTAACGCACATCTTTGACCGTAAATATATCTTAATCTCGATTAGTAAAAAAATTTAAAATCAAATTTTGAAAATTTGTACTGAGATGAATTGAACAATATTTTAAAAAAAAAAATAATTTTCATAAAATAATATCATAAAATGTAGTCAAAGTAGAGTCCGTAAATAATGTAAAATTCAACATGTTGAGATTAAAAAAACGGAGGATAGTATTATTTAATGTCTTGGTTGAACAAGGTTTTCGCACAATGTGAAAATTTCACCTGTAGTTAGTGCCTCCTTTAGAAGATCTAATGTGAACAATTTCCTTATATGTTTTCACATAATTTCGTGGCTAGTATATAAAATAGTTTCACGGAGATATTTTTATACTACATTTCAATCTTTCATGGATAAAGAGTAAGATAAGGAAAACATTATGCAATGAATTTGCAATTAGTCATGCAGGACTATAAACCATCTATTTGTTTACTTGAAGTAAAAACATATATTGTTCTATGAACGAAAATGTATAAATAAAGGTGTCAGAAGCTTTTAAACACCTAACCAAACTTAGAAACAACACACTTGAATCTTTCGATTTAAATGACATTTGATTATATACGTGAACACGTGAAGTGTATGAGATTGAATCTATTATCTATGAGAATGAATAACATGGCTCAATTATTGAATGTTTGATGTGCATAATAGCAATAAACTCGGTGGTCTTGAAATACACATCACAAAATCATGAGTTTAGACAATTGCTTCTGCTTAGAAACTCTTGGAGTATGGTGAATTGGTGACTAATGATGGAGGTTTATATACTAAAGATCTTAGAACAAGTCTTTGAGTAAACTTGCATGCAGTTAATATACATAAAAATGGAAGAATAGAATGTATATATGGATGAAGTAACATTTTTTCATGTCAATCCCTTTCTATTGAACACAAATGCTGTATACCAAGCTATATTATCAGTCACCTTTAGCTAAATTTAACATTCACTCATCAGGAGGATTCCCCTAGCTAAAAGACGCTCTCATCCAAAACCAGGAAATGCTCTGTAAAAACGCTCTTATAAAAACCAGTGGACTCAGGAAATAGTTCTTTGCCTCATCCATTTTGTGGCAGACCACTTCTCTCCTGACACAACCTCACACCCTCCATGTAGGCTACTCGGGTCCGTTTCTCCATTGAGCCCCTGAAAGAAAATCCAATGAATGCAACGTGTAAGGCAGTCTGTGTGTGTATCACATAAGATTGTGCTCTAAATATCCCAAGTACTAGCATCTCACATCATTTAAGATGCAAAACCATGCTTGAACACATATTAACCTTCAGATTTAACTTGTGAATTTTTCTTTTTGTTTGACAAATATGACTTTGCATGTTGTCATAAGTTTTCAACAGAAATACCCTTACACTCTTCTATCTCCAGAGGAGCTGCAGCAAAAGTGAGATCAACAAGTAGCCAACTAACAAATTAGATTTCAACTATTTCATTAATAAGTGTAGCATCGGTATTTTGGGGAAATAAAAAACTGTTCGACTGGGCAGGGTTGGTTCCTGAACCCATATCCTCACTCATATCTGCTCTCTCAACGACCAAGGCAGCTCCGTCAGAATGACATAATCGGCTTGGTCACCCCTCCCCCCATCCTTACTAAAATTTTAGCTACATTTCAGTTAGTTGCCAATGGTGTTGTGTAACTCCGCCATGAGATCAATTTTTTTGGTTTCATGCCTGTCCCAAGCCAGGATAAAGGAGGAGGGTGCTATGGTAGGCGCGTGACGGCCAACAATATTACCTAGTCACATCACATGAATCGAAATATGAATATCGCTATAGCTAGGTCGTCGCCCGTAAGCGACGTGTCATCCCTCTGCCTGGGGGTGGTGTCAAATATGCAAGGGCGCGCTACACTTCATAGGCCTGGGTGTGGTGATAAGAATGTTAAGGTTGCTAGGTCGTCACCCGGAAGCGGCGCGTCATCCCATTGCCCGAGGATGATGTCGAATATGCAAGGGCATGGTGGGGTTCGAGGCGGGGCTAAGAACAGAAAGTGGAGTGCTAGATTGTGCTTTGGGAATTGGAATGTTGGGTCTCTTACAGGCAGATCTTTCGAGGTAGTCGAAGTTATGAGGAGGAATATCGGCATTATGTGTGTGCAAGAAACTAAATGGGTTGGAGAGAAAGCACGTGAGATTAATCCCGGAGGTTTTAAGTTGTGGTATTCGGGGAGAGATAAGACCAGGAATGGGGTAGGCATTATTGTGGCACGTGACTATGTTGAGGATGTGGTAGAAGTCTTCAGGAAGAACGATCGCATCATGAGCATTAAATTGGTGATGAGGGGTGAGATTGTGTCTGTGGTAAGTGCCTATGCACCACAAGTGGGATTGGATGCATCTACAACTTAACAGTTCTGGGAAGATCTTGAAGATGTGGTGCGACGAGTGCCAAGGGGAGAGAAGTTGGTCATAGGAGGCGACCTCAACGGGCATGTGGGCTCGATTCGTGATGGCTTTGAGAGTATTCATGGCGGACATGGTTTTAGCACTAGAAATGAAGCAGGAAAGAACATTTTGGATTTTGTCTCGACGTATGAGTTGACTATAATGAACACTTGGTTTAGGAAAAGAGACTCTCACCTTGTAACCTATAGAAGTGGAGCTAATAGTACCCAAATTGACTACTTCTTAGTACGGACTACTTGGAGAACTAGCTACACCGATTGTAAGGTTATCCCAGGTGAGAGTGTTGTCACTCAGCATAGGATGCTTGTGCTCGACTTTCGAGGTAAGAACCATAGAAGACAAGTTAAGCAACAAGTGGAGCCAAAGATAAAGTGGTGGAGGCTTGAGGGGGATCTTCAACAAAGCTTTACACACAAAATGTTCGGTGAAGATGTATGGCGTATTGATAATGGAACACATGTGGAGGATGCGTGGTTATCGATGGAGCTGACCATTAACAAAGTGACAAAGGAGGTACTTGGGGAATCTAAAGGATGTCTGCCACCCAAAAAGGACACGTCTTGGTGGAATGATGAGGTGAAACAAGCCATAAGGAACAAAAGAGATTGCTATAAAAAGCCGGGGATAAGTCGGAGTGATGAGAACATAGAAGCATACAAGGAGGCTAGAAGACAAGCAAAGAAAGCCGTAAAAGAAGCACAAAGGAAAGTGAACAAGGAGTTGTATGAAAAATTGGACTCTAAGGAAGGAGAACAAGATATTTATAGACTTGCTCATCTTCGTGATCGCAGGACTCAAGATATCGGAAAAGTTAAGTGTGTGAAGGATGTTGATCAAAGGATATTAATGGAGGACAGAGAGATAAAAGAGAGGTTGAGATCATACTTTGATACATTGTTCAACGGGAACAAAGTGCAAGATATCGATGATTTGACCATACCAGATTGTATGGTAAATCGTGATTTTATGAGAAGGATCCAACCAACGGAAGTTAAAGAGGCTCTGAGGAAGATGGGGCGGAAGAAAGCAGTGGGTCCAGATGGCATACCGATCGAGGCTTGGAGAAGTTTGGGAGAGAGAGACATCAGGTGGTTAACAAATTTCTTCAACAAAATTTGGAGAAACAACAAGATGCCAACGAGTTGGAGAAAGAGTACTCTTATTCCCTTATTTAAGAATAAAGGTGATGTATAAGAATGTGCCAACTATCGAGGGATTAAGCTTATGAGTCACACCATGAAACTTTGGGAGCGAGTGATTGAGCAAAGACTTCGAAGAACAGTGAAGATTTCAGAGAATCAATTCGGTTTTATGCCTGGTCGCTCAACAACTGAGGTTATTCACCTTCTTCGGCAACTTATGGAGAAGTATAGAGACGCTCACAAGGATTTGCATTTAGTGTTCATTGACTTAGAAAAGGCATATGATAGGGTACCTCGAGAAGTTCTTTGGTGGGCCTTAACTAGAAAAGGCATTTCACGCAAGTATATCAGCATCATCATGGATATGTATGAGGATTGTACTACAAGTGTCCGTACTAGTGTAGGGAGGACTGCGGAGTTCCCTATTACTATCGGAGTGCACCAAGGATCGGCTCTGAGCCCTTTTTTATTTGCCATAGTCATGGATGAACTTACAAAGTCAATTCAAGACGATATACCGTGGTGCATGATGTTTGCCGACGATATTGTATTGATTGATGAGACGCAAACAGGGGTTAAAACAAAGTTGGAAGTATGGCGACAGACATTGGAGAACAAGGGTTTCAAACTAAGTAGGAGCAAGACAAAGTACATGGAGTGCAAGTTTGGTGGAGGTAGAAGCAGTGGTAATAGCGGAATTACTTTAGATGGTAAGGAGATACCGGTCAACGATATGTTCCGTTATTTGGGCTCCATAATTCAGAAAGACGGTGAGTTAGATGGAGATGTATTCCATAGAATCAGGACAGGGTGGATGAAGTGGAAGAGTGCGTCAGGATTTCTATGCGATCGAGGTATGCCGACTAGACTGAAGGGTAAATTTTATAGGACAACAATTAGGCCTGCATTACTGTATGGCACGGAGTGTTGGGTGGTGAAACAATGTCACCTTCAAAAGATGAGTGTGGCAGAGATACGCATGCTGCGTTGGATGTGTGGGCATACTAGAAATGACCGTGTGAGGAATGAGACAATTAGACAAAGGGTGGGAGTAGCACCTATTGAAGATAAGATGCGGGAGTCACGCCTACGGTGGTTTGGTCATGTGCATAGAAGACCGAGTGATGCACCTGTCAGATGAGTTGAGATGTGTGGAGAAGAGGTAGGGAAGAGAGGGAGAGGAAGGCCCAAATAGACGTGAGTTAGGGGAGTCAGAAGTGATATGTTTCTTCTTGGATTGGATGAGGGTATGGCTTTGGAGAGAGCAAAATGGAGGGCGAGTATTCGTGTGGAGGAGTGATCTTGTATCATCTTTTCCCCTCTTTTTTTCTTTTTCTTTTATATTTTTATCCTTATATATAAATATTACTTTATCCTTTTTATTTGATCTTTTATATGTATATTCATCTCTTTTATATTATCTTTTTTATAATAGCTTATCTTTTTATCTTTATTTTCTTTCTTTTCCTTTTGGTGATATCATATATCGATTCATGTTAGCCGACCCCAATATCGTTTGGGACTAAGGCTTGAATGTTGTTGTTGTTGCCAATGGTGTTGTGTCACCAGATTTGCATTATGATTTCTACAAAAGCAATGGAGCACATAACCTACAATTATCTGTTTTCTAGTCTTGTTTCTAGTACTCATCTTCAACTTATTTTCATGTTTAGACCCTCTCATGTTATATTGGTTATATTTGCTGATTACTTCACTCGACACGCCTGGTTTTACTCAATTAAGCAGAAATACAATCTCCGTGAAACTTTTATTGCATAGCATTTGTGGGTAAAATGTTTGGTAAAATCTATCATACACTTATTTTCCCGATATTGGCGGTGAATCCAAAGCCATGCCTCTCATGGCATCTCTCATGAATCCTCACCACATTAAGGTCCTCAAACCTCTCAGAACGAAGGCACCTTCCAATCATTGAAACTGGCATAACTCTTCCTCAGCAAGCCCATATCCCACATAATTTTTGTTCTACACTCTCCCCACTGCATAAATTAATGAGCCGTATGCCTACACCCACAGTCTGCGCCTTCCATGGTTGGCCACCCAAAGCACATATCTTTGTATTAATCTCTGCTGTCAAAGAGTGCTTGTCTAGTTGTCTCCAGTCATGACACACGATAATTGAAACCTTACCTCATTGCCGGTTTCTTCACGACCAAAGAAATCATCAGAAGTGAAATGAATACAGGCACAACTATCACACCATGTCGTTTAATTGTCCATGCATCAAGTTTCACTAGAAACAGTCTAAATATGAACTCCTGATTTCATGTTATATAGTACTCCATATTGCAGTAGAATAAAGTCACTGAACAGCCACCTAAGCGACTAATGGACAGTAGACTAAAAACACAGAAAGATTAAAGATTACTCAAGTAGAGTCAAATTGACTATGACATGTGATGACATTCAGAAAGGAAAAATAACGAGTGACAGACATGACTGAACATTGAGAGCTACTTACAAGACTAGGATCCTGGATAGATCAGTTGCAAGAACATCCAAACTGTGCGGGTTTGAGAACAAGAAATTAATGGGGTCAATTAATTGCCTGGAATTAGCTAGTACTATAAGTTCATGCAAAAAGCAATGGGAATGCTTAACGCTGGATGGCCAAGAAGGAATAATGAGAAGAAATTCAAAAACCTGTCATCATCACAGACTCACAGGTTTTCCGCTTAATTGGAAAATCTCAAGATATAGAATTGATTTGAGAGAGTTGCTACAGTCATGTCACTTTGATAATTAATTTAGTATCTTAGGATGCATATCATGGAAAATGACAGTAAGGTTGAGACAGTTGTGGTTCATTTTGAAGACCTTGAAGCCAATTTTTTATAAACTGACTTATAAAAAAAGAGAAACAGTAAGAAGAAAAGAGGACTGAAAAAATTATGGAAACTTGGTTCTGGTGACTGGTGAAGCATGCAGGTCAAAGGCAATGGAAAAAACGGCATTCTTTTTACCTAGTTATTCTGGTTCATTGTTCACTTGCTCAGGCAGTCAAAGGATATTGTTTTTTTCTCAATTGATTACATTATGTCTTTTCTTTGCTGTGACGAACATGCTACAATGTTAGGGACCTACTTATAATACTAATAAATGAGAATAAGAAGAATATTAGAGAGTTAGTATAAATAGGGGTAGAGGGAGAATAGATAGGAGGCTTTTTGGGACTTTTGTCTGGACTGGGAAGTTAGAGCTCTGTCTCTTTCTTTTGGGGGGCTTCGGCTCATTGGGAGGCTTCGGCCTTTGTACTTGTTACTGTTCATCATCTCCTTCAATAAAGATTTCTCTTGTTTTCTTGATACTAGCTTCTGTAATCTCTGATTAGTTAGAGGTCTCTAACATTGGTATCAGAGCCTGTCGATCGCGGGAGGAGATAGAGGCGCACAAAGATGGAAGAAAGATTTGACGATCTGAATCGCAATTGGAAAAGACTTCTGCGGGAAATGCAAGAAGATATGGCTAAGAAGATGGCCGCTATGCGAGTTAGCCTTGCGGATATTCCGAAAAGACTTCCAGGTCCTTCGCGGAATCAATCGAAGAATACCAGGCATCATTGGCAATCGGACAAACATGGTTCATCGCGAGAGTCGCGAACTGCGACTCTTAGTTCGCAATCGCGAAAGGATTCGCGCGGAATAATGGTGAAGCTCGCCGAAGAGGTTGGGCGCGGAAAAGTAGGGAAGAAAGAAAAGCGCTCAGTCCTGGAGAAGGAGAAGCGTACGCAGAACAAAGAAGAGGTAGAAAGTGATAAGGCGAGGAAAAGGAGAACAGGATCGGACGAGTTGTGTACCAAGATGCGAACACAAAGTCCGCGAGGAAGATCGAGGAAGATACGTCGTTGCATAAATTCGAAAAGTAAAGGGTCGTTGCAAACGCCTATTTCTTCTGGTCTTCTGGCTTCTACGCGAGCAGAAAACTCCAGTTTGAAATCTCCATCTGAATCCACAGATTCGCATCAGGAGTTGATTAATCAGCCGCAATCGGCCATGGCCGATAGGTACACTTATGGCGACAAGGAACACAAGGATACATCGTCACTTGACCATGGACCTGCAGCAGAAGCAATTACTTGTTTCCTCAGTCACAATAAAATCCCCAGGTATGAACTCCTTAATTCAGAATTGGAAACCAAGATGGTACGGTCATTTGAACGTGGCTCTCGAATTGATGAATACCTGCAAGTCAAGATAAACCAATCTGGGAAGTCAATCCCTATATCTCGAGGGTTGAATAAGATTGATGGTTTCAGATTAGATGATGTTGATCAACGCAAGAAGTTTATATTGGAGCAGTCCCATGATCTTACAAAGAGTGTAAATAGAATTCCTATTGTGCAGACTGGTCTAATTAACGAAGTAATAAGTCTTGTTGAAGCACCTGTGCTTATATTTGGAAAAATTGAAGACACTTTCCTAAAGCTTCCTAAACAATTACTGATAAGGGTCATGCAGAAGCACAAGGAAATGACGGTGATAGAAGGGAGTGAAGCTGGACTCAGAATGGGGATCCACAGAATTATGACTGATGCAACTGGTGTTGAAAGAGTTGAATTTGTATTCTCATGCACTAAATGTTGTTTGGTTCTGGTGTTGCATCACACTGGCCAAGACATCAGGACTACAGATGACAAAAAAATGGATACCTCTGAACAGTCAATATGCTCTTCAAATGGGGTTTCATTTAGTCAAGAATGCTTTCTTTCTAAACACACGATTACCAATCTTCTAGTTTGGAATTCCTCAGATTTTGGATTGAAATGGACAGGGAAGTTGGCTCTTGGTAGCATTGTAGAGGGAAAGGTTTCTATGACTACCCTACTAAGAGGCTCACCCAAAAGTTTGACCAAGGATGATGATGATTGTATGTCCTACTGCCCATTAGGCAAAGAGTATAGGCAAAATTTCATTATGACAAATTGTTATCCATATTCGAAATAGCAGTAGGTTCTGCACCATTCATGTCATTGTGGGCACCCATCAGTTCCAGGTCACAGGATTCTTATTGGGAAGCTTCAGTTATTAACTCTGAAAGTGTTGTTCCTTCTGTTCTTCTTATCAATCCCAGCAAACACATGATAAATGCTGCAATTTCAAGGAATGAAGCAACTGAAACTCAAGGGTTTGAGTTATATCCTGTAGCAAGAGCTATTGGCAAATGGAAGAATGAGCAAGGGATGACGGGTGAAGATCAGTACCAACATGAACAAAGACACAGGACTAATATTAGTGCTTGGAAGAAAGAGGAGCTAATGCTGTTTTTGCAAGAAGCTGTGAGAAGGAAGATTCAAGACATGAAGTTCAGGATCCTGAAATTTGAAAGATATTGGGAAGGAAGAGGTGTAAGGAAGAAGAAGGAGAAGATTTTGGTTGTCTCCTACCGCCCACCTTGAGGGCAAGGTGGATGTTTAGGGGGGGAGTATTGTTAGGGACCTACTTATAATACTAATAAATGAGAATAAGAAGAATATTAGAGAGTTAGTATAAATAGGGGTAGAGGGAGAATAGATAGGAGGCTTTTTGGGACTTTTGTCTGGACTGGGAAGTTAGAGCTCTGTCTCTTTCTTTTGGGGGGCTTCAGCTCATTGGGAGGCTTCGGCCTTTGTACTTGTTACTGTTCATCATCTCCTTCAATAAAGATTTCTCTTGTTTTCTTGATACTAGCTTCTGTAATCTCTGATTAGTTAGAGGTCTCTAACATACAAAAACTAGAAAGGGGAATCATTCAGATCATGCAAAGCAGGTAAAAGGAACTAACCATGCTCCAGAACAGCACAGCATTTCCTTTAGTAGGCTTTACACTTAATCCTTTAACCATCTTCCCACCACAACTACATTCGTTGGTACCAGCCTGCAGATGGAATTAAAATAAGAACACGAGCATTAGCAATTTATTGACAGAGACATCATCTAAAAAACTGCAAAGGAAAAGTCAAAAGAAACTTCTACTTATCGATTACAAACAAAATACGTAGTATAAAATAAGTTCACAAGTATAGCTTTCATAGTATCATTAAAGGTTTCACATGAAGTCTTAAGTGACTACTCAACATTGTCCTTACAATCTTCATTAATAAAAGTATAATGAGCACTAAGATTTAATGAGATCAAGATTAACCAGTTCTTCATGATTTTACTAAACTGAAGATGTATATGACTATCCAATTTAGTGTATATAGTACTCCATCCCATTTTACTTGTCCTACTTTCCTTTTTGGGTTGTCCAAAAAAAGTGTCACATTTCCTTTTTGGGAAAGAAGTATGTTATCTACAGCATTTCACTTTATTATACTCAAATCTCAACCACAATTTTTACTTTTTCAACCACTATTAATAATTGTGCCAAGTCAAAGTAGGACACATAAAATGGGACCATAGTTGTCGATGGCGTGAAATGGCGCGCGCGCCATGCGCCATGAGGCGCACTTATCACCCCTGCGCTACGTAAAAGGCCTGTGGCGAGGCATATACACATGGCGTCGCCATTCCTGCGCCTTCGCCATTCCTGCGCCTTCGCCATGGCGTTGGGCGAACAAATCCTTACCTTATTCGCAAGTAGAACCGCATTGGCAGGCCCAGAACAAGATAAAATAAATTGAGGCCTTAATTTTTTAGCAAGCTAATTTAATTAAGGCTTTAGGCTTAATATTAAAAGTCGTATACCCAAGCCCAGACTAATACCCAAGCCAAAGTCATATACCTGAGTCACACGCAGGAATCAAACGAATACGAATAAGACGAAGGGAACTCACAGAGTCGCCCTTTTTCTGTCCCTCGCGGAAGCAGAGCCGCAGAACTTCCCATTCCCAGGTCCTCGATCTTTTTAAGTTGTGTATTTATAGTTTTGTTGTTTTAACTGTGATACTTCTATTTTAAAATAACCTTCTATGATATACTTCACCTTTTGTTTTGATTAGTTTTTTAATTTTAATTCTCATTAATAAACCTTGTTTTCAATTATAAATGTAAGTTTCTTTTGCATTTTTTTTTAATTGTGAGTTTTAATTCTAATTTATATACAATATATAATTATATATATAAATATAGTTATATGTAAATATAGAGTTATATATATATAAATAAAATGAATAAAGATGCTAGCAAACCAAGGTGATGAGAACTGAGGAGTGTGACAATTGATGATGATTATGGAATAATTATCAAACAAAAAAAAGCTAATATATTTTGAAAGACATGGAGCTTTTTTTTTTAATATTATGTTTTTGGAACTACTTTAAACTATTTGAATGTCACATGTTTTGGTTAGAATGTTGTTATTCAACTTGTTTATCATATTTTGGTGGCTGGGGATACAATTGTAGTGTTTATAATTCACTTTTTTAGTTTTTTTTTTTATTATTTTTGTCACGTGGCGACGCCATATTTGCGCCATCGCCATCGCCATGGAAAAATGCCTGTGCGCCATGTATGTCGCCATGCGCCATGACAACTATGAATGGGACAGAGATAGTAACATATTGCTGCTTTTATAGCAAATACAGGACTTCTAATGTAGTTCTAGCAAAATGCAAGAGGCACAACACTACATGAGTACTTGTAGAACTATAAATTAAAAAATGACTTGTCAAATATAATTAACTACAAGTATCATCCATTTGTTTTATCCTATCTCCTAGCATCACCAGTCCATTTTCATCAAACAATCTAAGCAAAAATTGTCATTTTGGATCATAGCAATTGAGGGAAATATATATAATCCAAAATTCTAATGATGACTTTGTACATAATCCAGTAAAACATCTAAGCCAGTAAGACCAAGCCCATCCAGAAAGCAATAAAGCATCGAGTCTTCTTCAATATAGCGCGTGCACATGTATGTGTTATATGTATGTACATATGCATGTATGTTTGTACATATAAATGAGTGTGTGTGGAGTTGTTAGTTAGACTCATCATTTTGCACCAAAATAACTACTGTGCAATCACAAAGTTCTTATACGTAGTTGGGAAATCTTTGGCATAATTGATGCTGATGAGCTATGGGTCATTCGGAAACAGTTTCTCTGTGCCTTAGTACAGGGGTAAGACTGCGTACATCCGACCCTCCTTACCCCACCGTAGGTGGGAGCCTTTGCGGCACTGGGGTAATGATGATGATGATGATGAATTGATGCTGATGAGATAGGATTGCAGTTCATAGGATTAGACTCAGATTTTGGCCCAGTCAAGGCCTCAGGGACTTTCCTTTTCCTCTGAAGGGTTCTGAAACTAACCGGAAAGGGATCTATAGAATTTCAAATTTGCCAAATGGATGTGACAAAAACTACTCCTGCAAGTTTGATGGATGTACCATTGGAAAGTATGTTTCTCCACCTTCAACGTCGTCACTTAAATACATGAGCATGGTTGCTACTCTTTGACCTCCCCTCTTTATGTTAAACTGCAATAAGTATTAAACCTCATTTAGCACGTAGATATTCAAGGATTGATGAGACGAAACGAGATAATGGGGAGTTATAAATGCACAAGGTGATGGGAAATATACTTCATCAGTGAAGTAGTCATGATGTGGTCTGTACAGCTCATTCTTTTCATACCTGTGCTTCTGCATATGTTAGCTTAGATTCTAAGAACATATCAGGCTTCCATATATACAATTCAATGAAACAATAATGACAACGCCTACCTTAAAACTTGAATGAGCTCCCCATTTTCAACTGGTATTTGAGAATAGACAGCTATTCGTTTTTCGATTGCCTGATATTGCAGGAATGATATAGGAAGTCACTTAATGAATCACTAGTAAACTTGTTTCAAATAAATATCACCATAACAAATAGTAGTGTTCTATAACATTTACCCTTTGTTCTCATGGAAAAAAGGCACAGTATATTAATAAGAGTGGGGTGAAAACAATATAAATCATGGCAAGATCATACACATTGTTGAGCATACAGACCAACCTGTATCATAGGGTATAGCCTCTCATTATGATTCAAAAACATACCAGAACTTGTCCTGACATTGCTCTTGATTCCCTAGACAAGTACGAAATTGTGTATTTAAATATGAATTTAGTAACCAATGACAGTGGAAGTTCAAATTAAATATAAAAAGAAAACGATAAAAAGTTACCTTTTGACAAATCCTAATACAAATGGAGCAATTTCCTTATAAAACTAAAGCTTATATTCTTTCCAGTGAAATTACATTCCATTATTAAATCACCATCTCACTTATGAAGAGACCAAACAAAGTGGAGGAAAGCCATATAACCATCTCAACTAAATACTATATAAAGATTAACTAAAACTACACAAATAACCCAACTAGTTGAATCCATTACAAACAACTAAAAGGTTATAAGACATGAAAACGCATCGCTTTGCAAAAAAGAAGGTTGGCAAGAAGTTGACAGAAAGAATATGTAAATTACTCCCGCTCTTCTACATGTACCATTTTCACAGCAAATTTAACATCTAGGCAACCAAATAGTTCAACTAACTTGTCAACATCACTTGAAAACAAGAACTTCAAATACTAAGGGCCTGTTTACTAACAGAAATATTTTCTGTTTTTTGAAAATTTTGGAAAACTGGAGATAGAAAAGTCAGAAAACATGTTTACCAAAGTGTTTTCCAAAATCAAAAAATCGAAACATATCTCATTTTTTACGCGTTAAATGGAAAACACGTTTTACTAGTTTTCTAGTTTTAGAAAACTCGCTGCTACAGTAAAGTTCATTTACTCGCACGCCTTCCTCCTCCTACCACCTTTACGAGCTTTCGTTTCGGCTTATCTACTTCCGCCTAACTTCATTACTCGGCTTTAACTTCTCACCTTCCTCCTCCTCTCCAGCTTAAAAGTCGGACTTGTGCTACGCTCAACACCGCACGTCTTGTCCAACACGCCACAACTTCAGAATCGAGAGAGCAGAGCTTCCCAACCTCTTCCACACATGGCTACCGCACTCCAGGTTCACAAATCAGGCATCGCCGATAGGAGCTGAGCCCCGACATCACGGCATCTCCCAGTTCTTCCGTCGGCTCCTGTTCTGCCAACGATTTGAAGGTAAGCTGTGAAACTCAAAATTGAAGTAAAAATTGAACTGAATTCGGCTTCCATTAACATACGATATCCATGACACAAGCTTCTATTATCTGCTATTAACTGAATTCGACTTCTATTATTTGCTATGCAAAATTTTTCACCTTTTTTTTTTCAAAATTGAAATCAGATTGGAATCTGAAAACCAATGCGGCTTCTTAAGCCTAATTCATGGTTAGGTCTTGTTTTCATGTATGGCAAAGATATATCACTCTTATATACCCATTTAGTCATTAAATATCCAATGAAATTGGAAGCTTACTGTAGTTGACTAGTTTACACCATGTGAAGAGATTAGGGTATCTATAGGACTCTTAATGGTTTACACTTTACAGTACACTAGTCTGTGGTTGATTAGGGTATCACTCTTAATGGTTTACACTTTACAGTACACTAGTCAGCATCCCCCTCCTCTTGTTTGGTCTTTCCACATTGAATACCCGAGTGTAAATCAATAGTAAAATGTGTTGCCTTATCCAGTTTATAGCACCTTGATTTGAATTTTTAGTTATAATGAGTGTAAATTGGCATTGTACCAAGTATAAACATGCACTCCCTCCACCCCCATAATGTAGGATATATACATTTCAATTTTACAAACTCGGTATGATTCGGGGTTTTTGGAGGGGTTTTGGTAAAGAAGACCTTGGAGGGCTTTAGTTCATATCTTGACCTATTATGTGGACATAACATTTCAATCATCTTAAATTCATTTTGGTGAAAGTAAAAAGTAAGTGGTGCTTAAATTAGGGAAGTGAATAGACCTTTGGGAGTAAGAAGTAAGTGGCGTTTGAAAGGATAAGTGTATCATGAATACGTTTTGTTAATATCAGCATCTTGAATCATGAATACGTGTAATGGATATTAAGTAGGTAGTTAATATCATGCCACAAAGTAGGAATTTTGTTTGATTCAAAACAGCTTCTTGAATCATGAATACGTTTAAAGTGATTGAGCAATTACTATAAAGGTAGAGCCGTAGAGGTAGTAAACTCGTGGAAATTGACATTTGAGAATCTATAAGTTGTTTAAATGTAATAATCAGGTCCCAGCTCAATGAGTCACTGATTAGAATAGAATGGGGTCAAGTTCATACTTTTTTTAGAAATGGATTATAAATAAATGGGCATTCAGAAAATGATAAAGTAAATCATACTTTGTACAGTTAGACTTAACCGTGTAAAATACAATTTTAACATAGTATCAACAATCTTTCATATACTCTCTATCAAGTCAAGGATACTGCCAATAATTGGTAGACGTTTATATATACTCCTCAGTTTGATAGACGTTTAGTTATATATGGGTAAAGGCTGGTTATATATGGTTATATCTAACTTCCAGTTTCGAATCAATTGGAAACACTTTGAAATTATGTTGTTAGCACATTTCAATGTTGGTGCAATTTTGTGGTAGATGAGTTTAACTCAAGAAGAAAAGGATGATGCCATATGGCCTGATGAAAAAGAGACTTTGTTTTTGACTGTGCTATATGAAAGAGTAAAAAAAGACCCAACCGGGAATCCTACATTTAAGGGTCGCGATTGGAATGATATGGATAATGAGATGTTGGTCCGAGGTCGGTTTCAATACGGTAGTGACAGGCTACGGGGAAAGTACAATAGGATGAAGCTCATACATAGACAATTTGGTCAGTTATTGGCTCATACTGGAGTTACATATGATTCCAGTCGGAATGTTGTTCATGCCACAGAGGAATGTTGGCAGAAATTTTACAAGGTGAATATTTAATTTAATAAGTTCTTTAAATGATATATTACTAAGCTCTTTATATGATTCCAGTCTTTAATTTAATTTACAAGGTAAATTTTACATATTTTACTAAGCTCTTTAAATGATATATGTGTACTACAAACATGCAGATGAACAGGGGCTTTAAGACTTTTAAAAGGAAGGGTTGCAAGAACTATCCGTTAATGAATCTTGTTTTTGGACAAGGGAGTGCAAGTGGAGGACTTGCTACTCCTTCCACCCAGGTACCGACACACTCGGATGAGGAAAGAAGGAATGAGGAGGTTTTCTTACATGGTGAAGGGGGCAAGAGCTCAGAGAGATCGCACTCTAAGGGGAAACGCAAAGCTGAGGATGCGATGGGATCAAGCAATAAGGACTGGAAGACTGTTTTGGCTAATGCGGTCCACGCATACACGACAACTATGAGTGAAAAAGAAAAGAGACGTCGATCTCGAGATGAAGATGTTAGCACCACATCTACAGATGGCTACTTGTGTTTTGGTTGATGTTGAAAGAATTCCATGTCGAACGTCTATACTCACAGGTAACGGTTATATCGATGAGTTAATGACAGGTCATCCACAAAGATGCTATGAAAGTTTTAGGATGAACCCACATGTATTCCTGCGTTTATGTGAAAGGCTAAAAAATTTGGATGTTCTACACGATTCAAGATATTTAAGGGCTGAAGAGCAATTAGGAATAGGTCTTTTAGTGTTATGCCAAGGGGCGGGGCAACGTACATGTGCAGAGCGTTTTCAGCATTCAATGCGAACTGTTCACTTATGTGTGAAGCGTGTGGTGAGAGCACTTGCACGACTGGGCAAAGAAGTTATAAAGCCGGTTAATAGGGGCCCTATTCAACCGGAAATTTTAGAAAAGCCCAAATGGTATCCTTATTTTGAGGTATGTGTAAGCATAATTACCTTTTTCAATACTTAGGTTTACTCATACTATTAATGGTGTACAATTTTTGTAGAAATGTGTAGGTGCCATTGATGGTACTCATGTAGCAGCCTCAGCACCCGCTTCCAAACAAAAGACGTTTCGCGGTAGACATGCAACGGTCACGCAAAATGTCATGGCAGCTTGTAATCATGACATGTTGTTTACGTATGTGTACGCGGGTTGGGAGGGAACAGGCAATGACTCTCGAGTATTTTTAGATGCAATTACAAGAAGCGAAAATGGGCTGCCCATGCCTCCTATCGGTAATACAATAATTATGCAATTTGTGTTAATAAAGTCACTAATTAACAAAAATGGGTTCCCATTGTAAATGTTTTTTACTTCATTATAGGTTATTACTATGTGGTTGATGCTGGCTATCCAAATGTTCCGGGTTTTTTAGCCCCATACCGTGGAGAGAGTTATCACTTAAAGGATTTTCGAGGTCGAGGACGAATACGCAATAAGCAAGCTTTATTTAACTACCGACACTCATCCGTGCGTAATGTGATTGAAAGGTGTTTCGGAGTACTAAAGGAAAGATTTCCCATTCTAGACATATCACGTGGTTACCCATTGAGAAGACAAGTTCAAATTCCCATAGCTTGTTGTGCATTGCATAACTTCATTCGCATGCAAGATAGGAACGATGATTTGTTCTTGGAGTACGAGGAAGATGATATGATAGTTAACACGGAGGCAAGTACAAGTGAAAATGGACCACTCCAATTTGATATGTCTCAACAACAACAAATGCACGAAATTCGAGAAAATATTGCAAATGCAATATGGGATGATTATAATGTTTGAGATGTCGAAGTACAACTGTTGTTCTGATTAACATGTCACTTATTGAACTTTCAGTGTTGGGGAACATTTATGTTATTTTTTTGTTATTTGAAATGTCCCCTTGAATGTGCATTTCTTTTTCGAAATATTAAGTCAATGTTGTCTGGTAAAAATGAAATGAAAAATTGAAAAAATATGGTAAACATGTTTTCCGATTTGGAAAACAGAAAACTGGAAAATGAAAACAGAAAACTGGAGGCTTGAAAACAGAAAATGAAAACAGAAAAATATTTCTGTTAGTAAACGGGCCCTAATCTTTACAGTTTAGTATAGAATAGTATGCAGGTCATAATTTGAAGATAATGATAATGTTAATGATGATGATGATGATGATTATACTAATAATAGTATGAACAACAACAATGATAAAATGTATATGACATCACATACTCACTTTTCCAGTTTTTATATCCACCACCGTGGATACTTGAAGGCGGGGCTTCGCAATACCTCTAAGATAGTCACATTCCTGAAAAGGAACCATTAAGATTCACTTCCAAAATAAATTATTTGAAGTCGGAGTACAGTTTGAACTTTCTCCACTAGAGACTGACAAATGCTTTTCACATCATATTACTTCTATCTCTATTCCCCCTTAGTTCTATTTCTGAAAATGAAACGTTGACTTTTACCTTCGAAATTCCAACCCAATTTTTTGATTGGATACAGTTTCCACTTCCTCCAGGCACTAGCAACAAGATAAGTAGTGCATATAAAACTATAAAGTATCTAGACTCTGCAGGAATTTTACATTTTACTGTCTTATCAAATACAATCTCCACTTTCCATCATTTGCAATGGAGCCAAAGACTCAATATTTTTTGGCTTGAGAATATAATGAAATAAAGCAAAATGGCTCACTAAACTGTCTGCGCTTCTTTGTTATGAAGTAGCGGTCAGTCCATGTTATTTTGGACGCGATTTTCACTATGGTCATCCGGAAACAGTCTCTCTATGCTTTAGTATAGGGGTAAGACTGCGTACATCCGACCCCCCCTTACCCCACCGTAGGTGGGAGCCTGTGCAGCACTGGGGTAATGATAATGATAATGATAATGATCAAATACAATCTCCAGTGGAGACTGGCAAATGCATTTTATAGTATGTTACTTCTACCTCTATGCCCCCTTAGTAGTTCAAATACTACCACACTCTGAAGACAAACTATGGAATACAAGACCAGTATTACCACTACACTTAAGAACTACAAGGTCAGGATATGTACAGCAGAACTTAATGGGCCGATCCTTCACTGGACCCTACTTCCTAGTTCCTACATATGCAGATGCACCTGGCTGCCCTTTTATTACAGTCACAATTAAGTAGGTGTGTAGAAGTACGGAATAGAATACAAATGCAACTACATTCATGAAATATAGATGGTCATTTCCTATGATACACTGCTGTTTACGGAAAAGACAAACATAAATACGCAGAATTGGCTCAATGCCTCAATGTATGTATTGAATGGAGCCAATTAAGAAAACTAGCTTCCAAAATTCAGTGAATATGTTTCCTACTGTTAAGGTTAGCCAAATGAGTAGCATATTATAGTCGATAAAAATACTGTGCTCCCTACACCCTTTCTGCACTTCAGTTCAATATTTGCAAACACAAAGATATTAAAGAAATGTGGTATATTATATGCGAAGTATATACTACTACAAGAAATATTATTAATAAAAAATTGGTCAAGCACTTCAGTGCCTTTTGAGTCTTTCATTTTTCATAAAAACTAAAAACAGTATATCTATTCAAATAAGAACAAAAAACTACATATATAATTCCTAGTTGAAGTAAAATAACGTCAGCCCATTGTATCCACCATCTATGACACTAATCCAAGTAATCCGCAATGGGCAAGATGTTATTTTCCATTATGTGGCTTCCCAGTTTATATCCATCAAATACATAGTTATACAGCAAAAAAAAACTTCCAATAGGCAACTTCAGAAGACAGGAACTTATCATCAGAAACTCAGGAAAGAAAAATCTCCTTTTGTGGGTAGGGCTGAAAAGAATATGTTGCTCAAGGAAAACCACTACCTCTGCATGTTTCTGCAAGATACCAAAGCAGCTAAACTATACCAATTAATCATCCAATCATAAGTAAAAGGTTTGAGAGGGTGGTTATATACATAAAATGGCATTTTCCCACTCTCCTTGTAACCACGTGGCCACATGGGTCAATTACATTTAGGAAAACCACCAGGTTTATGCATTCCAATGTGCTATCTGTACTCAATCCATGTGGCCATGTGAGTACATAAAGAGTGGGATAGGACCATTTACAAATGTACATGCTTCCTCACAAACTCAAAACCAAAGCATAAGATACTAACATGCACACCAACAAATATTCATGTGGTTTTGATTACACAGCTATTCACAATCCATTCATTGCTAACAGCAATTACTATTACCATGAACACAGAATGGACACTTCTATTAGTAATACTAGTAAGATCTGAAAACATGATTTTAACTGGAAGATCCAAAGTTCAGAAGTAGCCATGTTCATAGAATCTATACCAGTCTTCCACTGCTCCGCTAAATTATTTCATCTTCACACAGACAGGTTTATTAAACTAATGTATATCTAGCAAAGAGTCAGTGGGGATGCAATGACTTTAGTAGCGGTGCTTCATATGAAATTGGATTACCTCTGTACTTAAAAAGTTATGAAACAGAATTATTCTCGGTGACCAGCTTAGTACTTCAGGTTTCACCTACAGCGAGAGAACATCAAAATTCAAAGATCGGGTCTCTATATAAAAAATGTTAAGTGATTTACAACAATCTTTCTTAGGATCTATTATATGCTCAATACTACTAAAGTACTTCCTGCCCCCAAAATAAGGTTCCTCTTTCATTTCAAAGAAAGTACAGTGTGGATGTGGTTGATATTACTTATCTCTCCTTTACATAAATCTCAACCACCTATTTACTGTTTCTACTGAACGGGTCAAATGGGGGGGACTTATTTTGGGGTGAAGGGGGTACCAAATATTTCTTCAGTTGGGTATAGACCATCATGATACAAGTATCCGATTTATTAAAAAAACACATAAAAAAATTCTAAAACTTTTAAAATACGGCCCAGAACGTACTATACAGATATCCTAGAGTATCAAATATGGGAACGTTTCCAATACACAGATATGGTACCTTAACGAAGTATTCATGCTACATAGGGGTCTACTGTGTAGTACTTAAAAATCATAAAGGTTTTTAACTGCTACGAAACCGTGACATTAGTACGACACTACAATGAAATAGGCATTGGAGAATGTTCTGCCATACATAACCAAGACGTAGCATTACAGCTTCTTTGTCATAAGCCAGCTTTGAAGGTCCTGAAAGAAAATGAACGAAAAGTGAAGATCAAATGGATTAGATCTAAAATTCCATTATTAAGCACAACCTTGAATTTATTAATTCTTAAATTGGCAATTTAGTATTAAAAAAATACTGGATGGGAGGGTCTTTTGATCTTAGCAAAACCATGTGCTAAGCAATCAAAGCTATTGGCGACCATTTCATTAGGTTGTACCATCAACAATAAGGTAAATTGTTTAGTCAGCAATTACAGTTGATCAAAGCACAACCCAAACACACCAAGAGTTTCAGAACCTTTAACTCATTTGCAAACTTGTTATACAAACCTATTTCCAAAGGTTTGGCACCATGTCGAATCCCACGCAATCCCCTCAATGTGGGTTGTGTCCCTGCATGATCTTCCAACACTTACTAACCGGAACAAAAGAGGGAAAGTTCCCGAAATAGGAGTAAACAGGTTTTGAAATTCCAAAGTAGGGCTACTATGTTTTTCTTCCTAAAATAGGAATAACATGGCAGTATTTGCTGCCATCTTAGAGTCATTACTGCCAAATAATTGCAGTTCTAGGCATAAACATGGCAGTATTTACTGTCATTAATGACAACATTTTTTTATCATGGCAATAACGACTCTTATTTCAGGAAGAAAAACATAGAAGTCCTACTTTAGAATATCAAAACCTATTTACTCCTATTTAGGGCAATTTCCCAACAAAAAAGCATAGACATTATTCTAATCAAAAGTAGAACAAAAGCAAAATACATCAAAAGGGTGTAAGCCTGTAAGGTATCCTAAGATAATGATTACATAAGCAAATTGTAGCTGCTAATGTCTCCATGAGAAGTAATAATAATACTCCCTCCGACCCATTCTAAGGTTCTCACTTTTCTTTTTTGGACATCCCATATAAAGGTTCCCATTTCTATTATAAGAAACAATTAACACTCTTAAATGATAATTTAATCATCAAATATTAAAAATAATACATCTATAACATCACAATTATCATCAATCACCCCATTATATTATAAACTCATCAAAACTATTTTTCAAAATATACTCGAATTGCCTTATTTTCCAATGAGAACCTTAACCGGGACGGAGGTAGTATTAGTTCATAAGAGCAGGGGAAAATTTATGAAATAGGTGTAAAAACAATGTAAAATTCCAAAATAAGAGTACTATGTATTTTCCTTATACAAGAGTACGTTATTGTCATCCTGAAAAATTTACTGCCCTATTTTGGCATTATCCGGCTTTGAATATGCCAGTATTCTACCATAATTGGCCATATTTTCCAAACATGGCAATGATTATAGCTATTTAGAAAATAAAAATATTGTGCTCCTATTTTGACTTCCAAAATGTTTTTACTCATATTTAGGGCAACTTCTCTGATATCAATCATCATCAATCATCATTTACCTCAATGCCGCAAAGGCTCCGACCTACGGTGGGGTAAGGGGGGTCGGATGTACGCAGTCTTACGCTCTGATAGTTGTAATAAAAATAATTATGAAATTATTTTTACTAATGGCAACAAAAGAACGAAGAGAAAAAGAAACAACAACGAAGGTAAACTTGTACCCACAGCTTCTTACAATACCTCTAGTTTATGTAGCACGGAAACTCTCGAGAAAGGTACGTTTCCGTTTCGGAAACTCTACGGAGACTCTTTGGAAACTCTCCAAACAAGTCTTTTTGAACAAAAGTTGATGTTTCTCGTTTCCTGTTTTCTCATGAATTTCGCGCTTCCGTGCAACATAGCCTCTAGTTGCACTAAACCGATGATTAACTAATAAACTAATGTAGAAGCTAAACTAAAGGCGCTATCCTTATTCCAAACAGAAAGAATGAGGTAAAGCCGTAAAACCAAGGAACAGCAACAAACAGTAATCTCTAAGCATATTATCCATAACTGATAAATGCTAGAGATTTGAGAATAGGACTCAGATGCATAATAATGAAGATACGGAGTGCATGCTATAAATGATTTTGAATGGCTTTTTCAATTTTCTTTTTATGATTAAAAAATTGAATCTTTTTGGAAGTTGAGTGGATATGTACACGTTGAAACTTAAAATGGAGTGGTCATTGAACTCATACACGTCAAGGAAAAATTAACAATAAGTGGAACTCTTTATTCAAGTACACAAAAAGATCACAAAAGCTACCATATGAATCTTCCAATCTCCAAATAAATGCCAATTGCACAAGAGCTCCTGCACGTTACATTAACAAAATTGCATTTACCCTTCAGAAAAATAACTATAAAAGAAATAATTATGCATCATCAACTTATCATAGTGTGGTATGCCTGTAATGCAGGAGCTATTAGTTTAATTTTTACACATTCCCATCTATAATGCTTTCTGATTTATGTTTGACCCCTTCATCGTTGATATTCATTGCTACTCCTTATCACTTCACGCACCAAAAAATTGTATTTAAGTAGTGAAAACACATCAAGATTCCCATTATCTAGAGGTTCATAATCAACCGAAAAAATAGGACTGCAGTGCTGCCTATAATTATTTCAAAAAATGTTTTCATAACTTCCATTAGTATATTTCCGGAACTGAAGGAGTAAAACAAACGCGATTGAATGAATTCAAATAAAACGAAGCAAATGGCCAGATGAATCAATACCCCTGGCCGTGGAATTAGCCTATTGAGATCAAATATGTCTTTTTGTGTACTGTGCTGTCTGTGCACATATAACTATATAATTAATATTTAGATCAAGTTTCTATATAAGTGTGATCAACATGTGCATTTTGCGTACACGTTTGCAAAAGGAAAAAAAATTACATTATAGAAATAGAATCTAGTTACCGATAATCATTCCGATTGCGACAAATGTCAGAAGGCCCAAAACCATTCTCTTCGTCTGCGCCATTTTACCGGCACTCTGAGAAAAAAGGGGCGGTGGGGAAGGTAACGGAAAAAAGAAATGTGTAACTGTAACCGAGACCACTGTCCGAGAGAAGGATTCGAAGTGCTTCCCTTCATCCCATAAAAATTGATCTAAGTTTGACTAAAAAATTGATCTGAGAGAAAAAAAAAAAGATGTACCTTAATTTTAGGCCTATGATAAAAAATCTCTTTAATTACATACTATCCTCCGTTTTTAATCGCAACATGTTGAAATTTACACTATTCACATGTTCTACTTTGACTACATTTTACGCTATTATTTTATGAGATTTTTTTTTTTAAATATTGTTCAATCATCTCATTACAAAATTTCAAAATCCGATTTTTTAAAGTTTTTTACTAATAGAGATTAAGATATAATTACGGTTAAAGGCGTGCGTTGGCAAGTGTGAAATGTTGATCGTTGCAACTAAAAAAGAACGAAGGAAGTATTTATTTTTATTATTCTAAAAATGAGATTGATACTACGTAAAATTTATTGAAATAAGTAAGAAAAAATATTTGGGACATAAAATAAAAAACAAAGAGATTTTAACTAAGGAAATCTTTATCTTCTTTACAAAATAATAAGTATGAATGAAGGTAAGGTTAGTTTTGGTATAAAAATTTTGTTGGTGGTATGTTACAGGTAAGTAGACATGTACAACGTACTTAAGTAATTGTAACTTGTCATAACTTTCTATTGCCGTTAACAAAAACTGTCTACTGTCCCGTTAGTAATGGCTCACTCACACCCACTCCACCCTGTCCATCTTTTAACCGTGTGTCTCTTTCTGTTCCACACATTCAACCCAATGAAACCATATGACGATGTTAGTTAGGTTAGCCATTGAGAACCCATTTTGTCCATGGAGATTGGAGGATCGCCAACAACATTTGTCACCCACCTTCTCCGCCTTGACTCTTTCGTCCTACCCAGGGTAAGGTGTTATATTCCTTTTTTTATAACAATGTTGATTGCATTTAAGAAGGTAAATTAATTCCGTATACACCTGAAAACCGATCGTCACCCTAAGTTGTTTCAATCTCCCGTGAAGCGCGAGATATGGAAATTGCTTTTTCAGAAAAAAAAAAAATCTTTTGTTTCTTATTTTACTCTATTATTTCACTATGTTTCTTATCTCTCACATTTCTTCTATGTGGTGCAGCATGTTTAAATGTTTCAATATTTCTAAAATTTTGTGTTCTCCTTTCTTTTTCAACAACAAATAAAGGTCTTAACTCATTAGTTTTTATCGTACTGGTTATTGCTTAACACCCATTTAGATAAAAGTGCAAGTTTTGACTCTCCAAACCAAGGTAATCCACGTTTCTTACTAGGCATTTTTGCTCCTAAGTACTACCTACCTTAAATTTATTGCCCTGCTTTTTGTGAGGCTATTTCGCACTTAAAAAAAGGCACCATAAAAATGATACTCTGCTGTTAATCATCCTGATTGTCAATATCTTATTGATGTTAGACTAGATATTAAATTTGGAGTTCATTTTCTATGTTGTGAATCTCTATGAAAGTTTGATATTTTTTGTTGGCCAAAAGTATCTTGCTAAGTTGCTAACCTAGTAACCCTATATGCTCATTTCATTTTCATTGATGATATTAGTTGGAGTAGATTTCACAGAAATTAATGAAGAAGGCTTTGGGTCAGAATCATTTTATTCTCTTAAATGCCACATTTCAGAGTAGGTGAACCATTTGCATGAGTTTTTTAAACATGCACACTGCTACAGGTATGGAGCTATGTGATATGCACTTCTTTCTTTCACATTTTGCATAATTTGTATTTGTGTTTCAATGTAACTACTAACTTTTTTAAATGGCCACTAATGAAATATTACTACTTGTCTTCAGGTTTGTAAAGATGATTCTCTTTGATATATTAACAAGACGCTATGTTGGTTTTGGAATCAGTAAACAATTTTTGGAAAACCAAAGCAGAGAAAATTTATGGAGTAAAAAGATCGAGTGCCAATAATTTTCCTTCTGTTTGCTGGCAGATTTGACAATGTATTTGAACTTTTTCTTGGAATCGGGTTGGCTATTTGTATTCATTTTACCAGTGGTCTTATTACCAGTACTATAATGAAATCTTATTATTAAAAGTAACAATGGATGAATAAACTGTTTTCTCGTAGGAGTGTATCCTCTAAGGCCACCACTACCAGTGGTGGGAGGATATGAATGAGTTGGAGAAGTTCATGTTGTAGGTGCAGAAGTGAACCCTCTTTCCCCAGGAGATTGGGTTATTGGCTTTCCATCAACTTCAGGCATGGAGATTTTTAATTTATGATCTTAGACATTTGAAATGTAGAGTTTCAGTTTTATTCACTTCTTAATGTAGATTTTTAATATTTCTACTCTTCGAAATTAGAATATTTTTCTTAAACACTTGAAGTCTGACTTTTGCATATATTTTTTGCTTTATTTTGTTAGCTTTTGTATTGTGTATTACGAAGTATAAGGTACCCAAGAATTTGCATTTCAAGGCCTCGGTATGAAAGTATCCACCAGACCACCATCACCACCTTAATGTCAACAATGTAGGGCTGGTGGCATGCAACTTAGTGTCAATTAATTTTCTAAAATTTGTCAAAACTATAAATACATGCAAAAAAGTTTAGCTTCCAAGTTTTAGGCTATCAATATATGCCTTTCCATATGTCAGATGTAAGGAAAGCATCTCATTTTTTTCCTTTTTGTAAAGGAACAAAGTCTTTGGTATAAAGTTGACTTAATGACACAAATGGAATGTGATGCTACTGTTATTGTTAATTCATTGATTGTCCAGAGAATGCTCAAGGACTTTGTTGTATTAAAATTGGGTATTACCATTTTTAACAAGTTACCGTTGTTCTTCCTTCAATATGCATCTTTTGATCTCTGCACACATATAGAATCTATTGTGCACTAAAGCAGAGAAAATTTATGGAGTAAAAAGATTGATGGGAAGTCTAACGCCAAACTTGTCCAACTGTGAGAGCTTCACATGCTTTGTCTCACTAACAAGAGCTGATTTCACTAGTTGAGCTTGAAATTCATCCCACACTTTGCTTCACATAAGATTCGGCTTCCACTAACTAAATTTAAATACGCCTAGTTTGGATAAAGAGGGAATCATTTTCATTTTGATGATATATTACTATATTAATCGTTTGTCTTGAAGATCTCTGCAAGTCAACTTATTGTGATGTCTGTTTCTCATTAGCTCAAACGGAATGGGAATCAAGATCTCTGCAAAAACATATTTTGATTTTGCAAAATTTAATAGCTCATATATTTTTTAATCTTGAATAACCTACTCCCTCCGTCCCAAAAGGGTTGGCCAATGTTGACTTGCACGTGGATTAATAAAATAAAAACTGTGTAGTTGAAATTTGTGTAGAGGAGAGAGAATTAGCTTTAGCCACATATTCCTTACTTTAAATCGAAATGACCAACCTTTTTGGGACGGCCAAAAAGGAAATTTGGCCAACCATTTTGGGATGGAGGGAGTATGTTACTAGGAATCTGGTTTTAGGTTTTGCTTTACTTCTAACTAGCGTGTGTACCCGTGCGATGCACGGTAATTTTATTTACATTTATGTATGATAGAAATCACTGAAAATAACGTATGTGAAATCGTCACTTTTTCTGATCCATTTTGTATGCATGTTGGTGTTAATTTTACGTGTAAATGAAATATCACTTTTGTCGATCGATTTTGAAAGATGGTTTTTTATTTGGTGTGAAAAATATGGTCATTTTATATATCACTGGATTAACTTTAAATATGTGAATTTGTGATTCATTTCTTATTTGGTGAAGGTTAATTAGTATGGTCAAAGACTTGTTTTCTCTTTTTTAACTCAGCTTAATTTTTTTAGAGTATAATAAATTGGTCAAATCATGTGTACTGAAATTATTATTTTAGTGTAGCAGTGTTCACCCCATGTCAAAAACTCAGCTTAATTTTCTTAGAGTATAATTAAAGGTACTATATGACTTTGCACCCCATGTTTTTGACAATATTAGACATGCATTATATCTCAGTTTTAAAATTACTACTGTGTGCACTCCATTAGCCCAAAAGTTGTGAATGAGTAGGGTGCAAAGTGAAATGATTTTACAATGATTTGAGGTGCATATATTAATGGTTTTGAAAATAGGGCATAAAGTCCAATATCACTCAATATGGAGTGTAATGCCAAATTCCTCCTAATTCTTTATATATAAAAATTAGATGGGATCAATTCTTTAGTTAAAAATAAAAAACACTGAGAAGATTATATATGCGCCATTCATGGAAGAACGAACGTAGCACAAGGTTGTGGTATGGCCTTGTGGTTGTATACTTTTTCTATTTAGTTGCTTAATACTGATAAATAATTAGTAATTAACGTTGTTTTCTTGCTCTTAAATTGGATGATGATGGATTGTTTTGGAACGAATTTTTCTAATATGATTTTCTCTATTTAAGCGTGTTCAGATCTGATTTATTTAAATTTGGATTGATCCGTTTTGATAGCTCAACTATTTTGATATATGTGTATTTTAGCATTTTTGCTACCTTTAGTCATCTGACTATTATCATACTTTTGGTACTTCACTTTGAATTATCTATTTTTAGTCACTTGACTATTATGCGAAATACACTTTTGATATTCGTCTCTGAAATTTCATATTTAATCTTTAGAATATTAAGCACATCATAGTTGATAAGTTTAATTAAAGAAAATATTATTAATTTACAGGAACTCATTGTACAAAAATAAGGTTATAATTAGATGTTTTGAGTATAAATTTTTAAACAATGACTACTAATTGTTAAAAAAGTATTTTCAACTACAGAATAAAAAATATGCAGGAGTAATTTATTTGAATGATTATTATATAAATGGTAGTTCAACGAAGGTTACTGTTAAATAATAAGTACATAATAGCCAATAAATTTCATAGTAAAAAACTATAATTAAGATAGTGAAAGTCAAAACTAGATGTTTATATTTTGACCAAATTGCAAGCTCTATAGTCAACCCACAACCTGTGCATGTTGAACCATGAAACCAGTGAGTTAATCCTATATTGAAATGCAATCCACCATGAAACGAGCAAGCCCAATGAAGTTCGACTCATTTTGACATATGTACATACAGTCAATTGA